TGATATTACGTGTTCTGGTAGAGAATTCCAGTAATTCCAGTAACGAAACTCCAGACCTAGACGATTTGATCTCGGTTTTTGGACTTTCTTTGAATGTCCCCTCAAATGCTCAGCCCTAGACGGGAGGAAAAGATAGGACATGTTAGTTCCAAGGTCATCGTTCAGGATACGATATGCCAATATTAGATCACCCCGTATTCGCCGGTAAGATAACGGAAATAAGTTGAGGTGTCTCAGTCTGTCTTCATAAGATAGGCTAGATAAGCCTTTTACCATTTTTGTCCCGCGGCGTTGGACTCGTTCCAACATATCCGCCTCATATTTGAAACAAGGACTCGCTGCTTGAATCCCATATTCCAAATGTGGCCGTACGAAAGTTGGGTATAATAATCTAAACATTTCCCCATCCAGATACCGGAAAGATCTACGAATAGACCATAATGCCCTATAGCCTTTTGCAGCAGCAGCCTTACAGTGACTGGTTGTTTTGAGATCATTACTTAGTATGACTCCTAAATCTTTATAGTTTCTTACATTGGGCAACACTAGTCCACATATTGTGTAGTGATACGAATCATCGTAGTTATTTAATTGCATCACAACACTTTTATTAGGGTTTACTTCTAGTGACCACCCATTCATCCATGCAACTAGTGAGTTAAGATCTTCCTGTAAAATTATTCTGTCTGACATACTATATATGGGTCTCCAAATCTTAATGTCATCGGCGAATAGTAGGACGGATGACTTAGCTATAGCTGGTAATTCATTTATATAAAGTAAAAAGAAAAGAGGACCTAAAATCGTGCCTTGGGGGACGCCACTTTTTACTGGTTCCCACGATGAGAGAGCCCAATTTACTCTTACCCGTTGTCTCCTTTCATGAAGAAAGTCACTTATCCAGTCTATGACTGCATAATGAATTCCAAAACTTTCTAGTTTCAATTTAAGACCAGAATGGGAAACCTTATCAAAGGCTTTACTTAGATCTATGAAAATGACATCTACAGGAATATTGCGATCTTTTGCCTCAGCCCAATCTTCTCTTGCAATGAGAAGATTTGTCAAACATGATAGACCTTTTCGAAAACCATGTTGTTCCTTTGACAAAAGATCATGTCTTTCCACGTAGTTTACAACAGCCATCCTAATAATTTTTTCCATTAGTTTTACAACTGCACTAGTTAAGCTGACGGGTCGATAGTTACTAACTAAATCCCTACCCCCAGTCTTATACACCGGACTGATTATTGCGTCCTTCCAGTCTCTGGGCAATCTGGACTGCCGTAGGGACATATCGAACAGCATCGCTAAGGGTTCGGCAATAACATCTGAGAGGGCTTTCATAATCCGAGGATGAATATCATCAGGACCACTAGACTTATCAGGTTTGAGATACTGAAGTAGGCTTAAAACAGTTTCTTTCTTAATAACTACAGGGTCCATCAACAAGTCGCCACAATCACAATGAATAGGTGATCGTTCCTCATTATTGGTAGAAAAAACTTTACTGAAATATTCCGAAAAAGCTTCCGCTTTTTCGGTATCATTTCTTGCCAAACTTAACGGATTTTCTTGTATCAAAAGTGATGGTATTCCATCACTTCTCTGAGTTCGCCTCTTTATATACGAGTATAACCGTTTTGGACTATGTTTGCAATCCCTAACCAATTGTTTTTCGTATGACCGTCTAGTCCTACTAATTAACGCTTTACAATTATTTCTAATCTTACGATAACTAGATCTGTACTGTTCTAAGCCAGTAGAGATGAACATGTTCCAGTGTTTTTTTCTACGCCTAAGGAGTTTCTTAACTTCTTTATTTATCCACGGTGGACTATTGTTCGGTCTACGTGGCACCAAGTATGGTATAAACGGGGACGTGACTGCACTAAACTTGCCTTTAAATACAGACCACGCCTCATCAACTGATGAGCTAGTATCTACTGACCAATCTATCATAGTAGCACAATCCTGAATTTCTGGTATGTTAGCTCTCCATATGTTTGGGCGAGGCTTAATCTGATCGTATATCATATCGCTAGCTCTAAACGTGAATGATAAAACAGCGTGATCGCTATTTACTAACAGGGGAAGAATATTTAGGTTGGCAATATCCTCAGTCTCATGGGTAATTACCAAGTCCAACAGAGAAGAACCTTGGTTTACACCAAAACGTGTAGGTTTGGATACATGTTGTACTAATGCATGTTCCATTAATGTATCCAAGAGCCTGCTATCAAATGAGTTTATAGAGCATTTCGTGGTCATCTCAGTTCAACTAATGTCAGGTGCATTAAAGTTTCCTAATATCAAGCATCTGTTATTTGCACTCCATAGCCGAATGTGCTTAAAAATAAAGTCATCAGCTAAGCAGAATGGGATGCGATAGATGACACCGAGTGCAAATGTACAACATCCGACAGTGAGTTCACAGCTAATGACTTCACTAGTTCCACTATCACACTCGAATCTATTCAACACGTCAACAAACAACCAACCACCACACAATACCTCATCACATCACATCACATCACATCACATCACATCACACAATCTGCATCGCGATCATCAATCGAGGCAGGAGTGTTTCACTGCATTCTGTCACACCACTCAATTCACTGGATCACACACATTCACTCACTCATGTGATCAAGTCAACAACACACCTCCTCTTCTCCGACCTCCTCTCCAGAATGATGATTCCAGATCGTTGGACATGACATCTTGATGAATGGGAGTGGAATGATCCACTTATGAATCGATGGGTGGAGTCAGACGATTCCAGCATTCCTCATGACACGAACGAATCACATCGGAGTGACACACCACTGGATATGACGACGCAATGAGACATCGAGTGTTCACCAACATCAACTACCTATACACAGTAGAGGTGACCAGGCATGCGGATCGACATGTTCAGGTGGAGTGAGACACACTGCTCCTAACTGGTTCGGTGTACATGTGTTCAACTGACCAGAGATGTGTTACAATGTGTCAATGCGTCGACCATTGGTTGGTGTGTGCGGGATGTGTGTGTGTTGGGGTGTTTGACGTTTGAATGTTTGTTTGTTGTAATGTGTGTGATGCAGTGTAGTGGTTTGAAGTGAGGATGAGTTGGCCAGCCCGGCTAGCTCAGTCGGTAGAGCATGAGACTCTTAATCTCAGGGTCGTGGGTTCGAGCCCCACGTCGGGCGTCGTTCGGTGAGGCAGTGCACCGTGTCTGCTAGATGCCGACTTTTCAGTCTTCAGTAATAAGGATAGGAGGTCTAGTGACCTATTTTAATCCTCGCAGTTTGTTACACTATGGAGTTCCAATCTTGTCTTGAATATATCAACAGAAGGCGCTGATATTACGTGTTCTGGTAGAGAATTCCAGTAATTCCAGTAACGAAACTCCAGACCTAGACGATTTGATCTCGGTTTTTGGACTTTCTTTGAATGTCCCCTCAAATGCTCAGCCCTAGACGGGAGGAAAAGATAGGACATTGTAGCTGTAAATAATTCCCCAAAATCAATAGCTCATTAAGTGTTCGACATTGGATGCTGACCACGTTGTTTAAGTGGACTTGTTTAGCTGAAGGCTTTCGGTCATGCATCCGCACCAGATCACGTTTCAATACTGCGTGGGACACAGCTCCTACGTTTCATTAGCCAGCTCATAGAAAAGGTACTCGATATATTGGTAACGAATCAAATATATCTTTCCTGCCTCTTCTCGTTTGACTTCTGATTTTCTATCTGACTGGAAACAACCGAATTTAGAAGGTGCTACTGGTATCTAGTTGTAAAACTAGAATATCCGTTGCATCATCATTGGTGAACCCGACGTGATCTGGTACACCAAGTCAATATACTGTGAGTCTGTTCCATTTTGGAATATTATTATTCATTGTTATTCTTTATTTGAATTTTATATATTGTGATATACTTTTTTCGCGAATTTTTTTTTTCTCGGATATATTTTACTTAGACATTTTTCGATATCTATATTACTATGACGGAACATTCTCCTAAGGTTCTTAAGTTCAAGTCTATTCCCCCTATTTCGATTCAGTTAACGCCATTTTGGCCCGACAATATCGAGTCCTGGTTCTGCTATGCAGAAGCCGATTTTTGCATGCACGGAATCACGGACTCGCGCACACGTTTCCTCGCGGTAGTTAAGGCGTTACCGCGCGAGTTTAACAGGTACGTAACACCTAGTATGTTTACTAGTGATGTTTCCGAACCTTACGAATCGCTTAAGCTATCGATTTTAAAACGAGGAGACCTAACTGATCGACAACGGTTAGACCAACTCCTTAACAATATCGACTTGCAACATGGTTCTGCGACGGACATGTTGCTTAGAATGAGAGAAGTCATCGGCCAACGAACTTTCGATGATGGCCTATTTAGACAACTTTTCTTGTCTAAACTCCCTCAACAGGTGCAGGCAGTGCTTGTTTCATTTCAAAACAATGCCATAGATGAACTAGCTGCATCTGCCGATCGAATCTTGGAAATCACTAGATCTTCTAAGGCCGAGGTTTTTTCCGTCAAAGAAAAACCCCAATCGACCTCGACTGACATGGCCGAACTATGTCACACGCTTACACGATATCTTAGAGTTCGCAATGACCGTAGTCGGTCAAAAACCCCGCGTAGAAGTGCCTCACGTAAGCGATCTGGCTCTCGACCACGAGAGACAGACAATCCCGACTGGTGCTGGTATCATAACCAGTACGGTAAGTTTTCCAGAAATTGCAGGAAACCTTGTAATTATCCGACCCCAAAATCGAGTGACACGAAAAACAGTTCGGGAAACTTCCCAGCCGGCAAGCGTTAACGGCAACCGTAGCCGGCGAACACAGCCGCCTCTTATATGTCACGGATGTGACTACGAAAGTTCGCTACCTCGTCGACACTGGCGCAGAAGTTAGCGTTCTTCCAGCAAATCTCGACGACAGACTTCGCGAGTCTGTTTTAAGTTTACAGGCGGCAAACGGAAAGCCGATCGCTACTTACGGTAAAAGGTACGTCTACCTTAACGTGGGTTTACGTAAACCCATACACTGGATTTTCGTGGTTGCAGATGTCTCTATGCCAATCATTGGTATTGACCTGTTACAACACCACAATCTACTCATCGACACACGCTCACGAAGGTTAATAGACGGAAACACTAAGTTGTCCGTTTGCGTAACTCCTTGTTCTGGTTGCAGGTTATCCCCAGTCACGATTAAGCACGCCATAGACCCCTTGTACCAAGCAGTACTCGACAAATACCCCGGGATATACCAATCGCAATCGAAATTACCTTGTGTAACCAGCAATGTTACACATCACATCTCGACTACAGGACCACCTGTATTTTCGAAAGCCCGAAGACTCGCTCCCGAAAAACTTAGGTTAGCTAAAAACGAATTCAACCACATGATGGACCTAGGAATAATTCGACCATCGAATAGTCCATGGGCATCCCCATTGCACATGGTCCCTAAAAAGGACAGCAATGATTGGCGGCCAACTGGTGATTATCGGCGTCTGAATGCTAAAACCATTCCCGATCGTTACCCGCTGCCTCATATTCAGGATTTGACAGCTACCTTGAAGGGTACAACTGTCTTTTCGAAAATCGACTTGGTTAAAGCTTATAACCAAATCCCGATGGCACCTGACGACATTCCTAAAACCGCCATCATCACTCCCTTCGGTCTTTACGAATTTCTACGAATGCCTTTTGGTTTAAGAAACGCGGCTCAAACCTTCCAAAGGTTTATAGACGACGTCTTCCGAGGTCTCAACTTCGTACATGCGTATGTTGATGACTGTCTAATAGCAAGTCCGGACAGAGAATCGCATCTCAAGCATCTGGACATTGTTTTCGATCGACTTCAAAGGCATGGCATTACTGTCAACATTCAGAAATGCCAAATCGGAACTAACTGCTTAGACTTCTTAGGACACACCATTGATGCCCAAGGCATCCGACCCCTTAGGAGCAAAGTGGCGGCCATTCTGGATTACCCAGAACCGACCACGATCAAGCAGTTACGAACTTTTAACGGACTCGTAAGTTTCTATAGACGGTTCATACCTAAATGCGCATCCCTAATGAAACCGTTAACCGATCAGCTTCGTGGAAATGCGAAATCAATTAGTTTAGACGACATAGCCCGTAAAGCATTTTCCACAGTTAAGGAACACATCGCTAAAGCAACCTTACTTGCTCATCAGGACAGTCAAGCGCCCATTAGTATCGCCGTAGATGCATCCGACTCAGCAATCGGAGCAGTCTTACAACAATGGGTTAACAACTCGTGGCAACCTTTAGGATTTTTCTCGAGACGGTTGCTAGACGCTGAATCTAGGTACAGCACGTTCGGTAGGGAACTCCTAGCTATGTATTGTGCTGTACGGCATTTTCAACATTCCATCGAAGGAAGAGAATTCACGCTCTTTACCGATCACAAACCTCTTACCTTCTCTTTAAGTTCATCTTCAGACAAGTACTCACCAAGAGAGTCTCGACAACTCGACTACATTTCGCAGTTTACTTCAGACATACAACATATTTCTGGAGCAAACAATGTAGTCGCAGACGCCTTGTCTCGAATTAGCTCCTTGAACTGTTTCCAAGGAATCGACCTTCTTAAACTCGCTCAGCTTCAAAAAGAAGACATTGATCTTCAGCATGAGTTATCCTCGACAACTCTTAAACTAAGTATTAGGCAGATGGGAACAGGTAAGGAAACCTTACTCTGTGACACATCTACAGGTAGGGATCGTCCAATTGTACCAAAACACTATCGCCGCAACGTCTTCAATACGTTGCACAATCTTTCTCATCCAGGTGCTCGTGCAACAATCGAACTTATAGCCGAACGCTTTTGTTGGCCTGGCATGAATAAAGACGTGAGGGATTGGTCACGCTCCTGTGTAAGCTGTCAGAAATCTAAGGTAATCAGACACAACAAATGCCCCTTAGGTTCTTTCAAAACCCCTGACGCTCGTTTCGACCACGTCCATCTAGATTTGGTAGGACCCTTACCCGACTCGAACGGATACTCATATCTCCTAACATGCGTAGACCGTTTTACTCGATGGCCAGAAGCAGTACCGATTAAGGACATTACTGCTGAAACAGTGGCTCGCACTTTCGTCGAACGATGGGTAGCAAATTTCGGCTGCCCTTCAACCATCACTACAGACCGCGGACGCCAGTTCGAATCTGGACTTTTCCGTTGTCTGACCACACTTTTAGGAATCACGCGCTTCCGAACGACCGCCTACCACCCACAAGCAAACGGGTTGGTAGAACGTTTTCATCGACAACTAAAAGCCTCATTATCAGCTTCAAACGTTTCACAGTGGACAGACGCTCTTCCACTCGTCTTGCTAGGTATCCGCAATGCAGTGAAAGCTGACATTGGATACACGGCATCTCAACTCGTTTACGGAACGACACTCCGACTCCCAGGAGAATTCGTGGATCCTTCAGCTTCTTCATTGAACATGGATCTAAACTCTTACACGAGTAGGCTTACAAACGCTATGCGTTCAGTTAAACCTGCTCACACTCGACCTCAATCAACTGATGTTTTCGTTCAACCCGAACTACCACATAGTACACACGTCTTCGTTCGTCGAGACTCACATCGACGACCCCTCGAATCAGCATACGAAGGACCCTTCAAAGTTCTTCAACGCGAACCTAAGTACTATGTAGTTGATAAGAACGGTACGAAAGATAGCATCAGTATCGATCGACTCAAAGCTGCGTACCTAGAAGGAAACCCTAGCTACGTCGATTTTCCTTCGGTACAAGCAAACGACACAGCTACTACACTCGTAGTACCCTACACGACAACCGACACACAACTTGATACTTCGTCAACGTCGATAGAAAAACCTAAAACAACGCGTTCTGGAAGACGAGTAAGATTTCCAGAACATCTTAACGAATATTGCACGTAGGACATAAGCTTTATCTGGAATTACCCTTTCAACGTTTATTATAAATTTTTTTTTAATACGCTCATTTTTTATTTATGTAAAAAAAACAACAACAAAAAAAACATTTTTTTTTGAACGTATATATATATATATATATATTTATATATTAAAAAAAAAAAAACTCAAAAGAAAACCTTTTTTCCGATCGCTTTTACGCTGTTTGTAAGTGTATCAGTTTATTTTTTTCCGCTCATCTTGTGTCCTTACGCAAGTACGAGTGTATTTTTGACATGCACTCACACGTTTTATTTTTCCTCTTTTCCAGGACGGCTGGAAAAGAACGACGAAGTTTCACAAGGAACAGAAATTTTCATTGTACTATATTTCTTTATTGCTACGTTGTACATTTTGGTCCCATAGTTTAAGGAAAGACGACCAGACGCTGCTAAACGAAGCAAGCTATCAGAAGAGTGTTTACCAACGACAAATTCGTTGGGTTTAAACTTCTGGCTGGTCACGTCTTAGGGACATCACTACCTCACTAGGGGGGGAGTGATCTGTAGCTGTAAATAATTCCCCAAAATCAATAGCTCATTAAGTGTTCGACATTGGATGCTGACCACGTTGTTTAAGTGGACTTGTTTAGCTGAAGGCTTTCGGTCATGCATCCGCACCAGATCACGTTTCAATACTGCGTGGGACACAGCTCCTACGTTTCATTAGCCAGCTCATAGAAAAGGTACTCGATATATTGGTAACGAATCAAATATATCTTTCCTGCCTCTTCTCGTTTGACTTCTGATTTTCTATCTGACTGGAAACAACCGAATTTAGAAGGTGCTACTGGTATCTAGTTGTAAAACTAGAATATCCGTTGCATCATCAACATGTTAGTTCCAAGGTCATCGTTCAGGATACGATATGCCAATATTAGATCACCCCGTATTCGCCGGTAAGATAACGGAAATAAGTTGAGGTGTCTCAGTCTGTCTTCATAAGATAGGCTAGATAAGCCTTTTACCATTTTTGTCCCGCGGCGTTGGACTCGTTCCAACATATCCGCCTCATATTTGAAACAAGGACTCGCTGCTTGAATCCCATATTCCAAATGTGGCCGTACGAAAGTTGGGTATAATAATCTAAACATTTCCCCATCCAGATACCGGAAAGATCTACGAATAGACCATAATGCCCTATAGCCTTTTGCAGCAGCAGCCTTACAGTGACTGGTTGTTTTGAGATCATTACTTAGTATGACTCCTAAATCTTTATAGTTTCTTACATTGGGCAACACTAGTCCACATATTGTGTAGTGATACGAATCATCGTAGTTATTTAATTGCATCACAACACTTTTATTAGGGTTTACTTCTAGTGACCACCCATTCATCCATGCAACTAGTGAGTTAAGATCTTCCTGTAAAATTATTCTGTCTGACATACTATATATGGGTCTCCAAATCTTAATGTCATCGGCGAATAGTAGGACGGATGACTTAGCTATAGCTGGTAATTCATTTATATAAAGTAAAAAGAAAAGAGGACCTAAAATCGTGCCTTGGGGGACGCCACTTTTTACTGGTTCCCACGATGAGAGAGCCCAATTTACTCTTACCCGTTGTCTCCTTTCATGAAGAAAGTCACTTATCCAGTCTATGACTGCATAATGAATTCCAAAACTTTCTAGTTTCAATTTAAGACCAGAATGGGAAACCTTATCAAAGGCTTTACTTAGATCTATGAAAATGACATCTACAGGAATATTGCGATCTTTTGCCTCAGCCCAATCTTCTCTTGCAATGAGAAGATTTGTCAAACATGATAGACCTTTTCGAAAACCATGTTGTTCCTTTGACAAAAGATCATGTCTTTCCACGTAGTTTACAACAGCCATCCTAATAATTTTTTCCATTAGTTTTACAACTGCACTAGTTAAGCTGACGGGTCGATAGTTACTAACTAAATCCCTACCCCCAGTCTTATACACCGGACTGATTATTGCGTCCTTCCAGTCTCTGGGCAATCTGGACTGCCGTAGGGACATATCGAACAGCATCGCTAAGGGTTCGGCAATAACATCTGAGAGGGCTTTCATAATCCGAGGATGAATATCATCAGGACCACTAGACTTATCAGGTTTGAGATACTGAAGTAGGCTTAAAACAGTTTCTTTCTTAATAACTACAGGGTCCATCAACAAGTCGCCACAATCACAATGAATAGGTGATCGTTCCTCATTATTGGTAGAAAAAACTTTACTGAAATATTCCGAAAAAGCTTCCGCTTTTTCGGTATCATTTCTTGCCAAACTTAACGGATTTTCTTGTATCAAAAGTGATGGTATTCCATCACTTCTCTGAGTTCGCCTCTTTATATACGAGTATAACCGTTTTGGACTATGTTTGCAATCCCTAACCAATTGTTTTTCGTATGACCGTCTAGTCCTACTAATTAACGCTTTACAATTATTTCTAATCTTACGATAACTAGATCTGTACTGTTCTAAGCCAGTAGAGATGAACATGTTCCAGTGTTTTTTTCTACGCCTAAGGAGTTTCTTAACTTCTTTATTTATCCACGGTGGACTATTGTTCGGTCTACGTGGCACCAAGTATGGTATAAACGGGGACGTGACTGCACTAAACTTGCCTTTAAATACAGACCACGCCTCATCAACTGATGAGCTAGTATCTACTGACCAATCTATCATAGTAGCACAATCCTGAATTTCTGGTATGTTAGCTCTCCATATGTTTGGGCGAGGCTTAATCTGATCGTATATCATATCGCTAGCTCTAAACGTGAATGATAAAACAGCGTGATCGCTATTTACTAACAGGGGAAGAATATTTAGGTTGGCAATATCCTCAGTCTCATGGGTAATTACCAAGTCCAACAGAGAAGAACCTTGGTTTACACCAAAACGTGTAGGTTTGGATACATGTTGTACTAATGCATGTTCCATTAATGTATCCAAGAGCCTGCTATCAAATGAGTTTATAGAGCATTTCGTGGTCATCTCAGTTCAACTAATGTCAGGTGCATTAAAGTTTCCTAATATCAAGCATCTGTTATTTGCACTCCATAGCCGAATGTGCTTAAAAATAAAGTCATCAGCTAAGCAGAATGGGATGCGATAGATGACACCGAGTGCAAATGTACAACATCCGACAGTGAGTTCACAGCTAATGACTTCACTAGTTCCACTATCACACTCGAATCTATTCAACACGTCAACAAACAACCAACCACCACACAATACCTCATCACATCACATCACATCACATCACATCACATCACACAATCTGCATCGCGATCATCAATCGAGGCAGGAGTGTTTCACTGCATTCTGTCACACCACTCAATTCACTGGATCACACACATTCACTCACTCATGTGATCAAGTCAACAACACACCTCCTCTTCTCCGACCTCCTCTCCAGAATGATGATTCCAGATCGTTGGACATGACATCTTGATGAATGGGAGTGGAATGATCCACTTATGAATCGATGGGTGGAGTCAGACGATTCCAGCATTCCTCATGACACGAACAAATCACATCGGAGTGACACACCACTGGATATGACGACGCAATGAGACATCGAGACATCGTCAACCATCATCACCGATAGCAATCTGAATGCTGCACGGTGCACATGCCATTCGCACAAGCATAACCACGCATACAACAGACACACTATCATGTGCACAGATTGAGTCACATTCGACCATCTCCAACCACTCACAGTGCATCCATGTGGACATGACAGTCAGTCTGGCACTCGTTCTGTACCCACAACTCCACAGACGAACTCACCACCGAAACACACAAACAACTGCATGTAGACAGTGTGCACTCAAACATCTGCTTGTCTAAACCCGCATCAACATGGTTGTTCGGTCTCCATCTATTCCAATCTCCCAATTCCACTTGTCTCACTGAACCACTTCCATACTGCCACGAATACTGACCACACCAACAATTCATTCACATGGAGAAATCACACACACTCGCATCTATTCAACACGTCAACAAACAACCAACCACCACACAATACCTCATCACATCACATCACACAATCTGCATCGCGATCATCAATCGAGGCAGGAGTGTTTCACTGCATTCTGTCACACCACTCAATTCACTGGATCACACACATTCACTCACTCATGTGATCAAGTCAACAACACACCTCCTCTTCTCCGACCTCCTCTCCAGAATGATGATTCCAGATCGTTGGACATGACATCTTGATGAATGGGAGTGGAATGATCCACTTATGAATCGATGGGTGGAGTCAGACGATTTCAGCATTCCTCATGACACGAACGAATCACATCGGAGTGACACACCACTGGATATGACGACGCAATGAGACATCGAGTGTTCACCAACATCAACTACCTATACACAGTAGAGGTGACCAGGCATGCGGATCGACATGTTCAGGTGGAGTGAGACACACTGCTCCTAACTGGTTCGGTGTACATGTGTTCAACTGACCAGAGATGTGTTACAATGTGTCAATGCGTCGACCATTGGTTGGTGTGTGCGGGATGTGTGGTTGTGTGTGTGTTGGGGTGTTTGACGTTTGAATGTTTGTTTGTTGTAATGTGTGTGATGCAGTGTAGTGGTTTGAAGTGAGGATGAGTTGGCCAGCCCGGCTAGCTCAGTCGGTAGAGCATGAGACTCTTAATCTCAGGGTCGTGGGTTCGAGCCCCACGTCGGGCGTCGTTCGGTGAGGCAGTGCACCGTGTCTGCTAGATGCCGACTTCTGAACGACAACTCACAACACCCTACTCTCTCCACACACCACACACACACACACACACGACACATCACCACTTCGTCAACCATCATCACCGATAGCAATCTGAATGCTGCACGGTGCACATGCCATTCGCACAAGCATAACCACGCATACAACAGACACACTATCATGTGCACAGATTGAGTCACATTCGACCATCTCCAACCACTCACAGTGCATCCATGTGGACATGACAGTCAGTCTGGCACTCGTTCTGTACCCACAACTCCACAGACGAACTCACCACCGAAACACACAAACAACTGCATGTAGACAGTGTGCACTCAAACATCTGCTTGTCTAAACCCGCATCAACATGGTTGTTCGGTCTCCATCTATTCCAATCTCCCAATTCCACTTGTCTCACTGAACCACTTCCATACTGCCACGAATACTGACCACACCAACAATTCATTCACATGGAGAAATCACACACACTCGCATCTATTCAACACGTCAACAAACAACCAACCACCACACAATACCTCATCACATCACATCACACAATCTGCATCGCGATCATCAATCGAGGCAGGAGTGTTTCACTGCATTCTGTCACACCACTCAATTCACTGGATCACACACATTCACTCACTCATGTGATCAAGTCAACAACACACCTCCTCTTCTCCGACCTCCTCTCCAGAATGATGATTCCAGATCGTTGGACATGACATCTTGATGAATGGGAGTGGAATGATCCACTTATGAATCGATGGGTGGAGTCAGACGATTTCAGCATTCCTCATGACACGAACGAATCACATCGGAGTGACACACCACTGGATATGACGACGCAATGAGACATCGAGTGTTCACCAACATCAACTACCTATACACAGTAGAGGTGACCAGGCATGCGGATCGACATGTTCAGGTGGAGTGAGACACACTGCTCCTAACTGGTTCGGTGTACATGTGTTCAACTGACCAGAGATGTGTTACAATGTGTCAATGCGTCGACCATTGGTTGGTGTGTGCGGGATGTGTGGTTGTGTGTGTGTTGGGGTGTTTGACGTTTGAATGTTTGTTTGTTGTAATGTGTGTGATGCAGTGTAGTGGTTTGAAGTGA